TTTTGAGTGAGATTGAGAGGTTCTACGGGCAGCTGTACACATCATCTGTTTTTTCGGCTGGGAAAGTGATGGCGACTGTATTTTGGGATAGTCATGGAGTTAAATTAATCAATTATCTTCAAAAAGGAAAAGCCATTACAGGAGCACACTGCGCATCATTAATTGGCAAACTGAAGACAGAAATTGCGGAAAACTGCCACATTTGAAGAAAAAAATCCTGTTTCACCATGACTACGCGCCATTTCACACCACAGCCGTTTCCATGGCGAAAATGCACGAATTACGGTTTGAACTGCTTGACCATCCGCCTTACTCATCATATCTAGCCCATAGCGAATACTTTTCCCTCATCTAAAAATTGCGCTCGGATGACAGAGATTTTCGTCAAATGGAGAGTCAATCACCTTCGTGAACAATTACTTTGCAGAGAAAAACGTCGAGTACTATTTCGACAGGTTATAGAGATGGGAGCATCGCTGGGAGAAGTGTGTAGAGTTAAAAGGAGACTATGTAGAAAAAATAATTTTTAAGAAAAAATGTCTTGTATCTATGTTAAGTCCGGAAACCACCCACGTATAATTGGAAATGAGGATATCCGAAATATAGATATAGATGTCTATGGGTCGCAGCAACCAATTACCATCAGGTGCACTGTGTGCTCGTATGTCACCCTTATCGTATAAAAAAAGTCAGTCTGAGTGAGATTAGAATGGCTCTCCAGCACCTTAAAACGGCAAGGCCTAGGCCCAGGTTGAGGATGTAATTACAGCGGAGCTTATGAAAGCGGGTGGAAAACCAGTACTTTCGTACTTCAGAAGCCATTTAATCCGTCCATCATGATGGCACTAGTCCAGAGGAGTAGAGCAGAAGTGCGGTGGTCTTGTTCTTCAAGAAAGCAGAGAACGCTCTCTTGAAGTACTACAGACCGATTTCCTTTCTGAGCCGCGTCCCTACGTGCTGTTTTCGACAGTCTTTAATAAAACGTCGCTTTCCAACGTTCGGGAGATTAAGACGCAACATCTCGTCAGGTATACCTCAAAACTTGAAAACAAGATTGTAGAACCAGTGCGTGTTGCCAGCCCATGATTTATGTATCTTAGACTTGGTCCTTCACTGCTGGCCGTATGAGGAAGCTTATGCTCGCTCAGTGGCTATGCTCGGAGTTTCTCTGCGTGATAAACTTGGAAATGAGGACATCCGCATAAAAACGAGTGGCAGCCTAGGCGAAGTGTCGGGCGCCCACCAGTTAGATGGAGTGACGACCTGGTAAGATATGCAGGAAGTCGATGGATGCAGCTGGCTCAGGACTGCTTTGTGGCATGCCTTGGGGGAGGCCTATGTTCAGCGGTGGACTTTTGAAAGGGTGGAAAGAATTAATGAATGGAATTTATAAATTTATTAATATTTATGGTTTAAATGTAATGTTCAGTACGTAATTCTGTTGTTATTTTTCTGATTTAACATAATACTAATTAGTTTTTATTTTTGGCACCTCTCACATTATTTCCACACAACTAGACCCGGGTTAACTGTGGAGAGAATGTTAAAAGCTATTATCATTATATTACGTTTGACTTTTAATCCTTTTTACTAAGGTGTTTTATACAACGAAGTGAAAATAAATAAATACCTATTTATAAAAATATTTTACTTAAATGTTATGTTACTTAAAATTTTACCGTGGTAGAGCCATGCTGCAGCTTATATTAGTAGTGTAGTTGTAGCGCGAATGGGTCGGCTAGACCGGGAAGGACCACGCTCTCACAGAAGACCAGCGTTCGTAGCAGAATAGCTAGAACACTAGCTAGCAACATTTTTCTTTAGAATACATGCGTAAATTTTACCGTGTTTTACACCGAGTCACGCACAAAGCTGACACTAGTCTTCACTTATTTTGCCGCGATTGTTTACTACGACTCCGTCTTTACTTCTTTATTGGTCTGAGGTTGAAAATAATCGTTCGCTATTATTTATACAATTTGGCTTTCTCAATGAATTTTTAAATTTCTGGGCTTTATAAATATATGCAACTTAAATAAAATTACAAGTTATGCAATGTAATAAGTTTTGGTTTCGATAAAAAACTCGTAAGATTTTATGATGATAGTAGTATCTCCTTCGTCCATACATAATATGATATTGCCGTTTTCAAATATAGGTTAATTTGGAGTTCGATATATTTTGAATTTGACTTTGAAGTACTAATTCTTATTAATTTATACATTTACATTTTTGATTTTCCCGCTTTTTGGTTTTGTTTTTTTTTTTTAATTAAAAACGTCCAACCTCGCATCACTTACATAAACAGCACATGAACAAATAAAAGGAACTGAAAATAAAAAAAAAAATATATGTGTAAGCCATTAATTAGTATGGCTATACATATACTTGTTTCTTTTGTTGTGTTTACGATATTGACAAAGTTGCAAATACGTGCAATTTTCGTATCGTCGTGTCACCAGTGCAACATAGAGATCACACAGTGGCGACCCTTATCGCAGGAATTTTAATGAATTCGTTTGAGAAATTCAGTGATATTTTCAGATATCACTGAATTTTTTACAAAAACTTGAGACAACAAATTGTCGCTAACGCCGCATACGGGTGATCCTCAATCTTTCAAAAAATTACAGGTGAGCCAGAAAACATTTATTATTTGTAGTTTTCTATTAAGTTTAATATATTTCATTTTCTGATGAAAAAAATTTAGTAAGCGGGGAATAATAAATGTTTTCTTGCTCTCCTGTAATTTTTTGAAAAATTGAGGTACGCCTCTTTGCGGCGTCTACGAATTGATATATTGAAGTTGTGTTATAGTATTATGTGTATGTATGTTCCCAATAAAAGCAATTTATTTAATATATTTTCTAATCCAGTGAACGTATTATACTTGGGTGGTTTCCGGACCTAACAAAGACACAAGACATTTTATCCATCTCTCTAACCTGTCGAAATAGTACTCGGCGTTTTTTCTCTGCAAAGTAATTGTTCACGAAGGTGATTGCCTCCCCATTTGACGAAAATCTCTGTCATCCGAGCGCAATTTTTAGATGAGGGAACAAAAAGTATTCGCTATGGGTTAGATCTGGTGAGTAAGGCGGGTGGTCAAGCAGTTCAAACCGTAATTCGTGCATTTTCGCCATGGAAACCGTTGTGGTGTGAAACGGCGCGTAGTCATGGTGAAACAGGATTTTTTTTCTGCAAATATGGCCGTTTTCCAAAATTTCTGTCTTCAATTTGCCAAGTAATGATGCGTAGTGTGTTCCTGTAAAGTTTTTCCCTTTTTGAAGATAATTGATTAATTTAACTCCATGACTATCCCAAAAAACAGGCGCCATCACTTTCCCCAGCCGAAAAAACAGTTTTTGCGTTTTTTGGAACCGGTTCCATCTTTGCAGTCCACTGTTTTGACTTTATTTTTTTTCCAAGTTATCCAAGTTATTAGTTATTCCAGGGTATCCAAGTTTCATCTACACTAATTAATCGGCGCCACTGCGCTTAAACTGCGCCAATGGAGCGTTGGAAATGTTTATTCGAACACTTTTTTGGTCTAGCGTGAAAAAACGTGAGCAAACGCGGCACCCAACGCGCTGACATCTTGCCTACATCCTTGATTTAATATGTGACAAACTCGTTTTGTGGACATTTTCATAGCCTCTGCTATCATTCTCACTTTATTTCGCGCTCATCTAGCACCATTTCGTGAACTTTAGCGATATTATCGTCAGTAGTTGCAGTTTTTGGACGTCCCGAACGTTCATCGTGTCCCAAGCTCTCACGGACACGTTTAAATTCAGCTGCCCAAAATTTCACTGTGGTAAATGATGGTGCAGAGTCCCCATACACAGAATCCAACTCATCTTTGATTTGCGTAGGCGTATTGCCTTTCAAAAACAAAAGTTGAATGACAGCTAGAAACTCAATATTTTCCATTTTCACTAAACAACATGGACTCACTCAAACGACTGTTAAATAACGACTACTCGTCCGAAATGGCTGAAATTTTGGCGTGTAACTGTCAAAAGATGCGCAGCTGCATTTACTAGCTTTTATTGACGAGTGTTGCCATCTTCACGTTGAGGTCGGAAACTATTCAGACCACCTTGGCAGAGTATTGAGATTTTGACTTGTGTTAAGCTAGACAAAAAGTTTTCTAGCTAATGCAACATATTTCACTACAAGCTGGAAGTAATCACCAAACTTGTGATGAAATCCGCTTTTCTTTTTCCCTCTTCACTACTCTACCGTTGGAGTTGTCGCACAACTACTATCTGCGTTGGGTTTTGTTATGACAGTACTAGATAAGCTCTAATTTACTATTTTGTTCTCGAACAGAATCTGCAGATAAGAATTATGTGTAACAGTAATAAATTAATATTACCCTAAGAGTTTAAATATTATTGTGCTAAAATGTTAATATAAAAGTAAAATCAGTTAATAAGACGTTACCTATAAAATATTTCGTAGAGACCTTAATTTAAGTGTTATCGAGATTGTTAGTCCGCTATTGGGGTCAGATGTCCAGATAAACACTTATAGCTTATATTTGTCTCATCTGAAATCACAAATATTATTACTGTTGCCAAGACTTGTAATCTTGATAACCCCCCACAAATTCACCTCATGTTCGCGATAAGATGAAAAGGTCTGTGATTAACACGGTATTAATACTCCCAGCACACGTACATTTCCATTTCGTCAATACTAAATAAATAATCTTTGTTCTTGTTTTAACTTATTAAATACACCCCCTATGTTTCTTGTTAGTTTTTCGTGCGTCAGAGGTATTTTTGAAACTAGTGAGTATGGGTTAATTACCCTCTCAAGTTGTACTGTCCGGATGTAGTATTTTCGAAGGGACTTCTTATGGTTACCGCGGATCTGCGGTAAATTTTCGTACGATTTTTACCCGCATAATCTTTAAATTATAGAATTACAAAGATGCGCACGTACTGTGGAATAAAATTCACACTAGATTCAAATTTTGTGAATTATTGCAGATTTATTGCGGCGCGTCGCCGTATGGATTTTCGCACCGTTTAGACTTGTATGAAACTGCACACTGCGGATAAAAATCACGTGGTCACCGTTCGGCGGTCACGCACAATATCGACTGGGCCCAAGCAGCATAGAAAATTTAATCGTTTATAAGATTAATGAATTTGATCGTCCATTATCGGCGGGAGTTGAAACTTATATAACTTACTTAGATAAAGGTCGGTAAAAAAGAAGATCGACCGTCACGACCGTCACACCGTATTTATCCAATCTGTGACCATGTCCTCGTTCATTAGCATCGCTAGCAGGTCAGATTAGCATTTGACACGTTAAGCTGTCACAGCGCATCTCCAGTGTTCTTAAAGCGAATACTTGCTAATTTTGTGTAAAAGTTGCAAATTTAATGTATATTACTTTTCATCTAGGCTTAGTTCGTTTGACTCACTTTGTATAATATTGTGGATACAAAATGTTATCTGTAGAGTCCGTGCGGAAAAAAACAGTCTGTAGCTATAATGTGAACTTTAGATGAACTTTTGGGTTTTAATTTCCGTTGTAGTATAAGAACAATAGTAAAGATAACTGCGCACAATATTTTATATTTTAATTTTACGGTAAAACATCTGACAGTCGAACTTGATAATTACCTACATTACACACATAAACGATAAGGTTACGTCTTCGCAGCCTTGGTCGATTCTCTTTCTGCACAGAATTAAGAGGATGATATCAAGGCAGCAAAACATTTGAAAAATAGATTTTTAACAGTTCTATTGTGCCGAAATGACCGAGCTAGACAACCGATATGGTCGCCATACACGGAAAGCTAGGCCATTCTATTTCCATCACTGAAAACCGATAAGCATTATCTGGCCATTATAAGCCTTTGTGCCCATGCTCACGGATTTTTCTGGGCGCACCGTAATCCGCTGACTTCAGTTCATTTGCATCACGCTAAACTGACCGTGAGTGAGCGTGGTTATTGCAGGGCATCGATATTATTACTTAGAAATATCGATATTTACATATTTCTAATATTTTTTGGACGATATATCGATAAATCGATAACTTATCGACAGTTGATTTTTTTTAAATAATAAGTTTTATGTTTTTACTTTTTTCTCGTAAATCATTTAATCTACACCATCGTAAAATTAAATCCTAATCCTTGATGGACCCAATCTACTGTACTTTATTTACACTATATTACGCTTTTCCTTTTTCCGCAGTTTATTTGCTTATTATCTTAAGAAATATAATTTTGTATAGTAAATCTCTGTGGTATTAAAATGACCATAATCTAATTAATAGAATCAGGCGTTACTTTGCGGAAATCCATTATATAAAAGCTTTTAGAATGTTTGCGAAGTAAATTTTTCTAAATTTTTCTATAATCTATGAAACTTAGTACTACTTTACTTACTGTGTGTTTTGGCTGGAACTTGACCGTCGACGGATTGTTACTCATATTTTATCGTTTATATTTTATTTTCATATATATATTAACAATATTTCGAATTTGATATAAACCTCAAGTTATTTTGATCGCTTAGGCGCCTTATGAACTTGAGTGTCTGTCGTCATCGACTGTCCGCTGGGTAGACATTTTACTTCCGTACTATGACGTGAAATAACTGTTAAATATTTGATTTCTTCAGATATATCTCTAGCATCTGAACGAATTGCTTCTACAGTCAATATTTTAGTGTCCAATAATCGTAGTAGTCAGACAGCTGAACATATAAAACAACAAGTATTTTTGAAAACTTACTGAAAAATATTGGTAGGTTGTCTTATTTAAATTAAACAATAATTACTAAGAACTATAACCTAACATTTTCATACAATTATAATTTAATTTGTTTAATATAAATATACTAAACTATAAAATGTTTAAATAATTTTTGAGCTGACTTACGATTGTTTTATTTTAAATAAAGCCAATATATCGATATATCAAACCCCGATATAGATATATTTATAATTATCGATATATTGAAAATCCGATATTTTGAAAATATCAACGGTCCTAGTTTGAACTGTTCAGTTGAACTGACCGTGTGTGTCTTAACTTTTTTTGGCTTAAATCCGTTTGAACTGATATCAATTTAACCGACCGTGTGTGTCAGCCATTAAAGACACAGCAGCAGACACGCAGCTGAGAGTTATTATCCCTCATCAGCCCGTAAACATCCACTGCTCGACTTTTTGATTGACATTCCCATTATCATACATCACTCCGTCGCTAGTCTGGCTATTTTACGTATACGTTACGTTAACGTATACGGCACTTTCTGGGGGTTTCCGAAAACGGAATGATGGATTCTTTTCCGCTGCCATAGTTACACTCCGTTGCATATTCGTGTTACCTTAAGTTATTATTTCAGAAAAAGGAATAATCGCTTATTAATGTAATAAAATGATAACAGTTATCTGTAAAATTAAAATTATTTATATTTCGTCCTCTCAATCGGTTGCTATGGTAGTAACATGGGTGTGTCTTGATAAATATTTGCTCAGCGTTTGATTGGTTAAACAGTTTTGAGTCTATGACGTCATGGTATCTTTAAAAACATATTTGTTATGAGTTAAGGAGCCCTCTTGGTCATGTTTTGCTAGGGGATATCGCAGTTCATTTTGTTTTCCACTGTTTATCTCTTGTTCGATGAAAATAAGACTTGCTATTAATAACATGTTTGTGATATAATACGTAAGCATAACAGATTTAGGTCTAAATGAAACAAACTATCCATATCATGAATATGTATAATTATGATATCGTTTTCAAGTTTTGAGGTATACCTCATTGATTGTGCAACCAGTACGTGTTGCCAGTGATGACTTATGGATCTGAGACGTGGTCCTTCACTGCTGGCCGTATGAGGAAGCTAAAGGTCGCTTTGCGAGCTATGGAAAGGGTTTCTCTGCGTGATAAACTTAGAAATGAGGATATTCGTAGTAGAACCAGAGTGAGCGACATAGCTTAACGAATTAGTAAGCTGAAGTGGCAATGGGCCGGCCATATAGCTCAAAGAACAAACAATCTATGGGGAAGAAAGGTTTTTGAGTGGCAGCCTCGTACCGGTAGGCGAAGTGTAGGCAGACTCCCCACTTAATGGAGTGACGACCTGGTAAGACATGCAGAAAGTCGATGGACAATTCGAGTCGATTTTTGTACAAGGTTAGAGCCATGCTGCAGCTCTATTAGTAGTATAGTTGTAGCACGAATGGTTCGGCTCGACCGGCAAAGAACCACGCTCTCACAGAATACCGGCGTAAAATAGGCAGCTTGACACTGCTGTGTTTCGTATGGTGAGTGTAGAGAACTGGAGACCCATGTTACTGGAAAAGAGGCATTCCATCTTAGTCCTCACGGGTGTCGACGCATCTGCATTTTGATTCTTTATTGAAGATAAATGTAGATGTCTATGGGTCACAGCAACCACTTACCATCAGATGGACTGTGTGCACGTTTGTCACCCTATTCTATAAAAAAAACGCAGATGGCCCTGGAATGTGCTTTGTGGCATTACTCGGGGGAGGCCTATGTTCTGCAGTGGACTTGTGAAGGGCTGTAATAATGATGATGATGATCTATTCTAGTTATTAAAGTTTATCCAGTTAAAAGGTCTATTAACTTTGCATACGTCATAAAATAAGTTTATTAAGTCCGCTACCATAAAGTTTTTTTGCATGCAGTGGTAATTTGTGCCATTATAAAAGAATGTCATTGTTTATAGCAGCGCACAAAATAAAAAAATATATAAAAAGAGGATGGATGACCGAGTTCATCCTGTTTTTATTTCTTTATGGTAACGGGGGTACTGGATAATACATAAAATGTATGATATTATATGTCGTTTACTGAATACGACGCTAATCAACTTCCTGCTCGTTGACAACCAGAAAATATGCAGTAATTAGTACTAATAGCGGTTCTTTTAAAACACCGGAAGTAATATTGGGGTAGCAAAATCTATATTGTGTAATGTGGTGCGCAGAAATTGTGACATCGTTGTCCAATGTTCAATGTTCTTACTTAGCAGTAAAGTCTTAACAACAATTATTAGATGTTTCATAACAATTTAATTTCTATAACAATTTTAAGATCAGAAAATAGCTGTTCAGTAAAACTGTGATGAATGTGACGAATTTAGGATTAGGTACTTAAGGCGCAGGTTGAGCAAAATGTCGCGTTAGTCGTTATTTGTACGGTTTTTAGGAGCTATCTACTTTTTATTTAAAAGATATATCAACAAATAAAAAACACATTATATTTCTACATAATCTTGATTCCATAAAAGCTATATCCAATTTTTTTTTAAAGGAATAATTATTAATATAATCTCCTTACAACGAAACCACATAAATGTGAAATTATTATTGATAACATGCATCTCCTCGTAAAGTAAGTATTATTTTATTTTGCGATTTACACCAATGGATAGGCAATTTATTAATGAACATTTCTATAGTAAAATTTTTTTCAAAAGACCAAAATTTGATTTTATTAAGAAATTATTTTAAAATCTGGGCGTATTCACTGCTCACGGGCTTACTGAAGTCAGTGAGCCCTGAGCTCTTCGACGTGGAACCCGTGTCGTTAGAGCGTCTGCCAGCGCCGTGTGCCCTCACGTCATCTTATCAGTCGATAATATTATAATATTATTACTTATTAGGTTATTTATAGGTAGTATTATTTGTTTGTTTTGGGTATAATTTTTCGTATTAGTTATACATATATTTGTTGTGTTTTTTACTGCGCGATGAAGCTTTTTGCGTGTATTTTCTTTGAAGTAAATGCAAATAAAAAAATGAAGCACCATTAGCATGTAAGGTTCGAACCCACAATTAAAATTTCGACAAATATTATAATTTACACTATAAAAGGCTAATTCAATATTATCACCCAACCACAATATCTTTTTAAGTATAGTACTGCCTCGTTGGTCTAGTGGTTGTAGTAGTGCGACTGCTGATCATGAGGTCCCGGGTTCGAATCCTGGGTCGGGCCAAAAGTCAGTTATGAGTTTTTTATTTATGTACTAAGTTATAATTAGTATTACTTACTAAGTTATAGTTTTTTGCTAAAATATAGTATATTATTAATTGCTTGTTTTTCTTCTTTTTCAAAAAATAATTGAGTAAATAAGGTGTTCTATACTTATAATTCGGTAAAAAGTATCTAAGTAGGTACTAATATACCTACTTTTTACTA